AGTGAAACTTCTTCCTTCCCACTAGAATGTCATATCTTAATGCAGAATGAATCTACAAATAGTATTCTTAATTATTTCGTATAAAGACCAGATATACGAAAATCAAATTCTATGGTATCTGAAAGTGAACACCCAACATTAAACTCAATAGATAAATTGTCGCCAACTTTCACCATTGTATGCGAACTACAAATTTTCGAAGTGTCACTGAGATAATCGATAATATAAACGATGATATTAGTTGTTCTTTATTTCTCTTTTTCAGAAAAAAAAAAAAACAACTAATTTGGGCAGCCATCCTGCTAAACTCAATCTAGTTATGATCACTAAGAACAGCAGTAAGACTAAAATATATCGATATATTTATTAAAAAAAAAATTGAAGCAAAAACTAGAGTGTAATAATGATTTATATGATTGATGCAGTAGACAAGAGAGAGAGAGAGAGAGAGAGAGAGAGAGAGAGAGAGAGACCTCATAGCATCGTCGAATATGGAGTTTCTTCAAATTTCTGCATCCTTTGGCTATACCGCATATTGCCTGATCTCCAATTTTCGAGCAATCTACCAAATGGAGAGCTTGTAAGAACTTGCAATTTTGACCAATTCCAAGAAGACCAGAGTTAACAATCTTTTGGCAATACAGCAAAGCCAATTCAGTGAGCTGGCTGCAAGATAGGGAAAATGAAGAGAGATTCAGATAGAAACAACAAAAACCAGATAATGACCAGGAGAAAAATTACTGTGATTAAACAGGAACGGCCATTGATGCACCAGTCAGACGCTTGCTATAAATGAGAATCGCTCCACGGAAAGAACCCACCCAACAATGAGGGTAATGCAAGTATTTAGATAATAAATCTAGACAATACATCCATTTGAATATTCTAGAATATTTTCAGGAGGAGTTGGAAAGAAACAGTACGGGCAAGATTTTCCGATGGACTCAAGTCCCATGGTTCCAATGTTGTGGCAGCCATTAACTTCAAGATGTGTTAGTCCTTTACAACCAGCTGCAACTGCTTCCAAGCCCATATCACTCAGGTAATAACAATCATTTAGAGTGAGATTCTTTAACTTCTTGCAGCCTACTCCAATTGCACGTAGTCCCCTGAATCATTAGAAAATGCGGGTGGGTAAATAAATGAAGAATGCTGAGATCAAGATTCTTCCTGATGCTGGTATCTGTCAACCATTAACACACCATAATTTGGAGAAGAATATAAAGCATAATGTTCAGTGCTCAATGAACTCAAAGGCTGCATCTGTAAATCTTAAACCAAGGGGAAAAATCCCCAAATACTATAATTCCTTGGCCTTCAAATAAGAAGCTGCTTACTCATAAAAGGGTAATAGATCATCATAAAAATGAGGTGTGTTAGAAATAATCAGTATTCCTTTTTTTAATTTTTTCTGTTTAAAAGAAACTTACTTGTCTGTAAATTCCTGAAAACTGTATAAAGCCAATAGTTCCAGAAAAGGACATAAGGAGCCTACAGCTACCAAAGCTTCGTCTGTGACATTTGTACACTGTAGCTTCAAAACTTTAAGAAGTGTGCATCCTTGGGCAAGAGAAAGCACCCCTTTGTCATGGATAACTTCTGAATCTAGCGATATGGACTCCAGATATTTACAGTGCATGCCCACAGCTTCTAGTGAGACATCCGTTATCTTGGCACAAGCAGCCATACCAAATGATTTTAATGATTTCCCACAGCCACGGGATAATTCAACCAAACCAACGTCAGTCAGCCCTTCACAAAAACGAAAATTTACATCTTTGAGTAGTTTACAGAATACCCCAACTGCAGCTACACCTCTATCCCCAACATAGCAACCCTAGGAAACATCAGAGTAGAACAAATACTTCTCAGAAGGGACATTGACCTATATTGTAAGTAACCTTGAGAATAAGAGGCATGGGTGGCAATGCATTGGGGAAACTATGATTATTATTGATACAAGCCTCCAGACATAGTTATTCTTAAAATAAATTCTGATTCAGTAAAGCTAGACATCAGCTAGCAATTCCAGCCGAAGAAACCCCACTACGTTACAAAATTCCAGTCAAAAGCCTAACTCAGAAATACTTTCAGCTAGTATGCTTATATATTGCCAGCTAGCTATCCCACTAGGATAAAGCCGTTGGTCACAAAAGAGACCAAGTTCTATAGTGGCAGTACTTTAATAAGTGAAGACCGTGTATAAGGTTGTGCAATCCGTCTTTCTGAAGCCATTTCGATATATAAATGTTAAATGACACGATGCAAGGGAATGGACATGCCAAACCATGATGGCCACCTTCTTACCTAGGATATTAAATATCTATCATGTTAGCTGTCACCAAATGTTTAGGCGTCACCAAGCATGAACACCCACAGTTACGAAAAACAAGAAGGAGAAAAGAAAAGAAAAGAAAAAGACGTGATGTGCCACCAAAATGAGTTGAGTTTCGAAAAGATAACTGCAGAACGCAGTAGATACGCAACAGTAAAAGACCAGGGACATGATTCTTGATTATCTGGAAAAACATCTATAACAACTATTTTTAGAATTATAAAGGGTTCTTTAAATGAATTTCAAGCTATCAATTCCACTAAAAGTCACATCCGTGATTTAGGGATTTTTCTTCCATAAATTAGGAAACTAGACTACGAATTACCTGTAGATCCAGAGACTTCAAAAATTTGCACTTCTCAGCAAGGGATGTCAAGCCCTGACTTGAAATGTTCGAGCACCAAATTAAGCTCAGTTTCTCAAGGTTCGGAAAACCTACGGAGAGGGCAATTAGCCCAGCATCAGACAGACAAGAAGACTCCGGCGCACCTTCAGTCCCAGTATTAAGAGTTGCATGATGTGATTTAAATGGCAAGCGCATGCCGTCATTGCGCCGTCTTCTTCCCTGCATAGACATTCCCAATAAAATTCTGACATCTTTACAATGCTTATTCAATTAAAGCTTAAAATTTTAGTTTCATTAAATGATCTCTTTACAATTAAACAAGCAGAGGAGTTAATATCATCACAAAAATGACCCAAAAAGCTAATGAATTGATCATCCAAAACAACCAACATAGTATCCATAATCCAGACAATTTAGTGGTTATAAGAACATTCAAACCCAGCACGTGAAAACGTTGCCACAACAAAAACCAGTACCTAAGGATTATAAAATGCCACGCCTATTTATGAATCTAGAAGATAGTAACTCAACAAACAAAGGTGATTTGTCCAAATCGAGGGTTCAGTTTGATGAAATTAAAAAAACTTCAAAGTTTTGACGCAAAAACCTTAGCAATGAATTTCAGCTCCCTGAATAAGACAGTTTCTCGAGCTCTCTAGCATAAGAGGATGGTTGGGTTGGCCTAAATCAAACTTGCACGGTAAAGTCCCCTATGTAACATTGAAGCACTCCGCCAATTACTCGCTCCTTTTCTTCTGACCTAAATGCACACCACTATTCCCCAACGATACGTTCTTATATGAGCACTATTTCAGTTCACTCTCCAAAGTACTCGATAAGCGGATCCAATTCTCCAACTACACACAATACACTCGTGAAATTAAACCAACAAGCAAAATTCCAATCCTAAAACTCAGAAATGGCATCATCCATAAGCCTAAATGAATATCAAGTAGACAATTGAGGTCAAAATTAATGGCTTACTGAATGAAGGGGGAGAGATATCGCCAAGCGCTCGTCAATGTGGACATTTTTTACATTGACGAAACGGCGAGCTAGGAGCTGAACAAAAAGGTCGGGGCTACCCGTTGCGCCAATTCGCAGAGTGGTTCGGCTGAGGCGCTCGAGCTTGAGCCAACGCCTGCAGACGAGAGAACAAGCATCTCGACTCAGCTTCGAGTCAAGGCACCGGAAAATCTCAACGATTAGTTCGTCAGGAAGGACCGTATTGATCCAATCATGGCCACGCATCGAGTACGATGAACTTTCAATCTCTCGTCGCTGATATTTCAGACCGGAATTTGTTGGCATCAGAAAGAAGCAGAAATAAACCGCGGGGAGGGAAATCGGAGGAAGGCATTTATATCTGGAGGATTGGTGGAGTCGGCGGTTTGGGCTGGAGTGGGAAATAATTAATTTACCATAATACCCTTGTCTCGTTGATAACTGCCAGCACGCCATGTGTCCACGTGTCCACCCCGTAACTTTCCCTTCGTCTCATAGGAAAAAAAATCAAATTAAAATATTATTTTTCCTACAAAACCAATTTTTTACTTTTAAAATTTATTAAATAATATCTCAGGGTAATTACGAGAATCTCATAAATCTTAAATATCAAACATAAATACAGGACTAATATTAATTATAAACGTCAAATATTTTTAATATTTATAATAATTTTTAAAATAAAATTATATTGTAACTCTGTTTTTTGAGTTGGTCGAATTGACCCAATAAAAAAAAATGTCTAACTACCGAATCAACTAAAAAAATCCACCCAGTCACGGTGGTTTGGTTTATAATCCAAATGGGTTCGAGTTCTATAATCATATGAACACTCCTAATGTATTATACAAAACTTTAAAGAAAACGACATTAGAATTAAAACACAATTAAACTCGGATATCGTTTAAAATTATATTAAGTTTTTTAACAAAAATAAAATTAAATTTGAAGTGTATTTATATAGTTTATTAAATGATTGAAATAATTAATAGTATTTAAAAAAATAAATAAAAATACTTTAAATGATTGGACAATAGAACTTAAAAATAAATAATAATAAAACCCACATAATTAGGCATTTATGTATTTACTTAATAGAATTAAAAGGGAGGACGACAATCGTTAGGTCAAACCGATGCATCGGAAAATTGACAACCATCCAAACGACGTCGCTTCAAATCTGTCCATGACAGGATCATCCAATTGGTTAAACCAAACAGCCCGCATTGTTCTTCCCTCGTCGAGTCCCATCGTCGATTTCGTAAGCATACGCTATACTCGGGAATAATAATAATGCAACGTTTTTCTTTTTTGGTTTTCATTGATTTGATTGTTGAAGATTAAAAAAATGTGAATGTTTGGTTGAAGATTCCGTCAGAATTTTACACGGACAATCGAATACGGAACAACAGAGAAGCTTCAGGAGGAAGACGAAGAAGAAGAAGAAAACTCCGACCAGCGCCGCTTCTGCTTTTCTTTGATTCGTTGCGGTTCTGCTAATTCTGAAGAATTCAGCAAAGATCGCCAGGGAAAAAGTTGAGGAACGACGGCAGGAACTTGATCTGTGCTATAAATCATGTCGTTCTCATTCTTCAAGCCATCAAGGCCTAAAACCCCCCAGGAGGTGGCCAGATTCATCAAGGACAGCCTTATGGCACTCGATACCAAAACCGTCGTCGAAGTTAAAGCTCTTGAAAAGGTTAGTCTCATTTCCTCGCATTATGTAACCAATTTTTCTTTTGGTTGGGGATGATTTGGACTTACTTTTAGGTTTACAAGAATTGTTTGATGAAATTCCTTTGCCTCCAAATCAGAGGTTATTAAACATTTGAATGATCCTTTGCCTCAGGCTATGGAAGAAGTTGAGAAGAACTTCGTAATTATGCGATGTATGCTTATTGGAGACGCGGAGGTTGAACCGAATGCGGATCAAGTTTCACAGCTAGTGGAGGAGATATGTAAAGAGTGTGTTATCGATCTTCTAATTCACAAATTGCCTGTTCTTGGATGGGAAGTAAGTCATGTCTTAACATTTCTTACAGTTAATCGCCAGGAAAAACGTGTATCTTAATCATTCTTCAGATTGACAATGTTTCTTAATGTAGGCAAGAAAGGACCTTGTACTTTGTTGGTCCATATTGTTGAAACAAAAGGTTGGCACCACTTATTGCTGTGTACAGTACATTGAGAACCATTTTGAATTGTTAGACTTCCTCGTTGTGTGGTAAGTTCAAGAATATCACTTCCTGGATTAGTTCATATCTGTGTCAAGTCATGAATAATTTCTCTTGTAGACAAAGGGATGATTTTGTATAATTGCTTAGATCATTTCTTGGGAGGTTCTATACAAGTTCATTACTACCATTTGCAGTCTGCTTACTGATTTCCCAATACTTATTACCTGCAGCTATGACAACAAAGAGATTGCTGTGAACTGTGGAACCATGTTGAGGGAATGCATTAAATTTCCAACTCTCGCAAAGTAAGATGCATGTTCTTTTTTCAAACTGACCGTCAAGGTTTCAACAATGTGCTAAAGTTGGTGCTACTTTGTTCATCGATAATAGGTTGATGCTACTTTATAATGTACGAAACGAAATTCTACAATGCAGGGAAGTTCCGTAGTTGGTCCTTGCTGACAAGATTGTTAGGAAGTATTATACAAGTTTGGAGTAGAAAGAACTTGTTTCTCGTAGTATGGGCATGCTTTACAGTCTAGAAACCTTATGTTTGCATATTTTTTACATTCTTTTCCTCAAATTTTTGGCACTAACTACTATCATTCCTTCATTCTTCATATTTAATAATCCATCGCATAGTTGCTGTATGTATTCTAAATTGCCCCAGCCTCCAAGACTTGTATTTGATTTTCATGTGTCTTAAACCCATTTGACTAACTCTGTTGAATACATACCCCACTTTTAGAACGAATTACCTTATGAATTCGAACAGAAGGTTACACATGTGAAATCTTTTAGAGAACTCAACGTGCGTGATTTTCCAATCACTGCAAGTTATTGTTAGATGAGAAAGTTGTCATTTCAGTTTCTAAGAGGGAGTTCATTTCTTCACAGTTTATTTTTGTAGTGATTTCTCAGATACATATTGGAGTCTGCATGTTTTGAATTGTTCTTCAAGTTTGTGGAGTTACCAAATTTTGATGTTGCATCGGATGCATTTTCTACTTTTAAGGTTAGACATAAGTTGCTGGTATTATATGTTTTCTTTATGATGCAAAGTTTGTTAGATTTGATATCCATAGTGCAAACTTGAAACAAGTGCATTTCTGGCAGGACCTGCTTACCAAACATGGAAATATAGTTTCCAACTTCTTGAGCGCTCATTACGTTGAGGTACGTTGTTTCGTTTCTTTTGACCATTTTATATGTATACTCGGTTAGACTTTACTCATAGTCTCAATTTTGCCACTTCTAATGTCTTAATCCTTGTAGTTCAATTTGTTTCACCTCCATTCTTTCTTAAATATATTGATTTAGCCCAATGTTAATCAAAAGCGACTAAATCCAAGGACTGGATTTCCAAATCGACCTGTATAGTGTTACAAAAATAGCTTATGATATTGTGTAGAGCCCTGCTCTTCTGGGATAGAAATAAACATATTTCTTTGAGTTTATTTGCTCCTGGTTCGGAAATATATCCCTCAAGTTATTACTATTTGATTTTTTTTTTATGACTCCGTTTTTGGTCATATAATGAGAGATTATTTTCCAGTTCTTTGACAGATATGAAACACTCCTGACATCTTCCAATTATGTAACTAGAAGACAGTCATTGAAGGTCCACTCTCATGGCGGCTTTTTAATTTCCTTTTATATGACTATAAGCATAATTAGACAATGTTCTGATGACAAATGTTTTTTTGAGCTCAGCTTCTGTCAGAGTTCTTACTGGAATCTCCAAATTCCCAAATAATGAAGCGATACATTCTAGAAGTTCGGAATATGAAAGTGATGATGACTCTATTAAAGGTAGTTATTACTAGACTACTTATAGAATTTATCCAATTTCTTCAACAGTTGCTAGCATTCTTTTCCATGGATGCTCAAGCATTTTCCCTAATCTTGGCTTTTCCAAGCAGGATTCTAGCAAGAACATCCAACTGTCTGCTTTCCACATATTCAAGGTATTGAATGCTGCTCTTTTTTTTGGACTTTGGTATGCCCATAATTATTACCTTGTCGAAGGATGTATTATCGTCGTAGTCGCCTTTTCTTTGCATCTTGCTGGTTTAGCAACCTTCCAATTCAGCACCTTGAAAATAGTTCAAAAAGTTCTGTTGTTAAGTAGTGACATTAACCATAGCATGAAACTTCAATAAACATTCAAATTCTGAACATTTTATATATATATTTGGGATCTCTGGAGTTCCATGACCGCATTATGTTTCCATCCCCGGAACGTTTCACCCTCTCCTAATCCGATTCCGAGTGATGTGAGGTTTTCAATTGTTTCTTTTTCAACCTGGAGGCTTGACTTCAGAGATTTTGGATGTCGCTGACAAAAGTTCCTTCTCAAAATGGTGGGAACCATTGTGATTTCCTACTAGATTATCACCATAGAGTTTAACAGAAAATGGAAATATTTAGAATATGAATAAGGCAATTGGTTATATGATAGCCATTGTATAATGGCTATAATTTGGATAATTTTGTCCAACTTTTTTGCAGGTTTTTGTCGCGAATCCTAATAAGCCACGCGAAATCAAGGTTATTCTAGCAAAAAACCACGAAAAGCTTCTGGAATTGCTTCATGATCTCTCTCCTGGGAAAGGTTCTTAGTTTAAAATGGCAGAATTATTGTCACATTATACGCTCTCTTCTTAAATGCTTTGATGCTATGCTAGTTGAAGTTCATTCATCATGGTATCTGATTTTATTACAGGTGCTGAAGACGAACAGTACGAAGAAGAAAAAGAGTTGATCATCAAAGAAATAGAAAGAGTTTCGCGGCTCCAACACCTTGCTCGTTAAAATCGTTCTCCCACGTCGTGCTTTATCCCCCCGAAACCATGCCTGTTGAGTGAGTTTGCATCTAAAATGCACGAGAGATTGATTATTTGCCAAAGCACAAGTTATTAATGTATAAGTAATTTTCTTTACTGTGAAACAATGTTGTTGCAAATTGCAAATTGAAGAAGGTGTCTGTAATTAATATTGCTTGAAGGCACTTTTCAGCCAAGAAAATGCCTGCTCATCTCTCAAGTAAGTGTCAATTGCTCTCAACGTTCTTCTAAGATGCAAAATACAGGTCAAACAAGAAGAGAGGAATTGCTGGTATTGCAAGGAAACCGATCAGATTTCCTTTTTAACTGATCATTTGGTTGCAATTTACCAGAAAATTACTAGACCAGAGGTTTAAAATGGGAAAGAATAGAAAGGATTGATGAACTAGGTAATATCAAATCTTTTCATTTCAATAGAACATTCAGAATTTTTTTTTTTTTATTGATGTTTAATTACAAGTTTATTCTTCAAATTTTAGAATATTCTTACTTGTAATTAATTCATAAATTTTGATATACAAATTGGTATATATTTGATATTTGAATGTCAATTTTTTAAGAGAAAACTTCCTTCTCGTCAATAGACTCGAATATAAAGGAGTGTAGTTTGTTCGATAATTTCCTATCTCTTTATCAATGAGAAATTTAGATATTTCAAAATTTAGTAAATATGCGGATGATAAATAATGTCCTCACTCAAACCAAGACATAATTATTTGAAGAACGTTTATTTGAAGAACGTATATGGAGAACCTTATCTCTTTATCAATAATCGTGAATATGAAGCACAATCAAGAACAGAGACAACGAAGCTGTGCTGTGGTAGTTGTTTGACAGCTTCTTGTTTGATAATCTTATATCTCTATCAATGAAATGTTTGAATTTTTCAAATCAAGACATAACTTTTTGCTCATTTTCAATATCAAATATTGAAAAGAGCAATTCTTAGAGCCTATTAAACATTTATTATTAAATATTTAAAAAGAAAAATCGGACATCAATCAATGTCTAAATCTCAACAACGTAATCAATCAATACCCTTTTTCTTTAATTAAAGAAAAAATCAACATTCTCTCAAATCCGACTTATTTTAATTTTTAAATAGCTGAATCTAACAAATATCATCCAATCCCAATTAATCCTTTTCTGAAGGGGCCAAAGAAGCAAGAACTCGGATCAAATTCGACCAAAGTATGAGGTCAAGAATTTACAAACAAAGCATATGTATATATATATATATATATAACACAGTTTAGGTGAACACATTGAACTAAAATATCAAACTTCATTCAGTCAGAATAAAAACTAAAAGCAAACAAGAACGTTGTTCAGAGTATTATGTACTATTTCACCAACAGTTATTTTTAAGCATTTATATAATAAAGCAACCGCATGCTGGAAGCCTGAGTTCAGGTAGAGAAAACTCTGTCCACCTAATTGTCTCCCTGTCTCAGCATCCGCAAAATGGTCAGGAACAAGTTCAGGATATCCAGATAAAGAGTTATGGCAGCCCATATGTATTCATCATATGTGAAGCGCTTGATCAGATTGTCTGTATCATATATAATGTACCCCGAGAAAATTATCGCTCCAATTCCACCGTAAACGGCAGTGGAAGTAGGACCGAGAGGGAAGAATGCCTACAATACACAACATAGCATACACTTATGAGCTAACAATTTGGTTGAAGTTCAGTTAAATTCTATCGTTTTACCCGGCGAGGTAAAAGTGATAAATATAAAGCTAGAGTCAGTTGGGCCACTGTAGAGTAAAGGGGCAGAAAATGACCTGAATGAAGCTAGTAAGAACGAGGATCATTAGGGCAGTAAACACTTATGAGCTAATGATTTGGTCGAAGTTAAGTTAAATTTTATTGACGGTACCCAGCGTGGTAAAAGTGATATATAAAAAGCTAGAGTCAATAGGGACACTGTGGAGTAAAGGGGCAGAAAATGACCTGAATGAAGCTGGTAAGGACGAGGACCATTAGGGAAGTAAACAAGAATGGTCCAAGATAGCTGAAGTCCTTGCCCTTCTTTGAGGCCCAGAAGGTGTACCCGGTTAAGGAAGAAACTACTGCTGAGGTCAAAATTAGTGCTTCAAGCACTATCCTTCCTGCAATCACCAGCACAGAATCATAGATTTTGATCAACACCAGGACATTTAATCAAGCTCACATCGTATTAGCAAGTCTGAACAGTTTACTGTAGATACTAACCATCGGTGTTAGCACAGCTAACGCCAACTGTGAGGCTAAGTGTAGTCGTAAAAAGTCCGAGGAAGACGAGGTTCAGAGGGTGCTTCTGCCTATAAATGTACATGGGCCATAGTACTGCAAATATTTGGAGTCATTGAATGATATTTTACCATAATGTTAACTAAGAAATGAAACAATTCGCATAAAAAATTTGATGGAAAAATAATGTTTTTGGAATGGAAGACAAAAAAAAAAAAAAAAAAAAAAAAAAAAAAAAAAAAAAAAAAAAAAAAAAAAAAAAAAAAAAAAAA